AGCCCTCCTGCTTAAGTAGCCGATAGAGACCATCAGTGACACTGAGGTACCGCTGGCCACCGGAGGGACGAATGCACTGGAGCCTAGTCTATATTAGGGCAAAAAACAAAGCAATTACCGACTGCATAGATGGGAGGAAATTCGCCTATAAAATCTTCCTTAAAAATGTGAAAGATAACAGAGGCGCACCGAGTGAGCTTTGGAAATTGAGCCGCCATTTCTTAATCTTCTTTCCTTTATTCACATGTAAATGTTCTTACATTTACGTTGGTTGGCTCAGTACACCCATTAGAAACCGATTTTTACCCCTTATTGTTTATTTGAACTACGACAATGAGGCCATCTGCGCACGACGCTAACGCCTAATTTTGGCCTGCATTTTGCGACATATTCAGAGACATTTCTCCATGAGGTCGAAAATCGCAATTTTTAGCCTTAATTTGCCGGTGTTGTGTGGTTTCTATGTCTTATTTATGATGAATGGAGGAGGTTATTGTTTAAAGTTTTGGAGTGCCAATTTTACAGCGCATCTCTCTCTCTCTCAAATGAGCCAAGTTAATTTTTCTATGTCTGACAACCAAAGACCAGAGAGATCGGAAAGACCATTTTTAGATAACTGTCAGTCACTAGGCGCCCATTACCCAGTCAGGGAAGACCTCGCCGTTGAAAACAAGTGCTTTAGGTAATGTGGTAGTCAAGTCCCATTAAATTTGGCTGACCCAGTTAAGATCACGTAAAGGAGGCGTTAACGGACATGGCCTCATTGTAGAACGGAACATGTACGTTCCGTTACGCCTTGGAGTCCCGGTGACTGCATAGCGGCTACACATCAACAAATAACGAGCACTATTGACAAAAGTGGTTATTACTTGTGCATGCCAGGCCACGAAGGACTAAGCTCGTTTCCCCTCTAGCTCGACTTGTGCCTTGTGGGAAAAGTATGACATGACACATATCACTAAAAGGGGAGCATTTTAAGTGTATGACTTAAGTCAAGGTTAAAATTTATGGCCGGTTAGCGAAAAAGATTATCTTTTAAACTGTAACCGCAAAGGGATTGTATATTGTTTTCGTCAGATGACTAAATTACAGGTTCTCGAAGGGGAAAATATTACTTTGACAGCTTATGGACAGCGACCACTAACCTTGACGCAATCAACAGGATACATAATGGAGTGTTCCATGAAGCCGGCAGATGCACCAGCCAGCATATGGACGGCTGGCGATACACCTTCGGGAAGGCTCTCGTAGTCAACCGTATCCTATTCGGAAAATAAATAAAGCGCAGTCATAAAATGTGAAAAGTTTGTGAAGGACAAAAATATGACCACCATAACAGTAATGCGAACAATAATAATAATGAGCCGATGATTTTTGTTCTAGCTGCCCGCCCACGCCCATACTATAGGTTAGCAATGCTGCTCCTAGACGGGAAAATTGTTCTGAAAATTGTCACGTGTCTTCGCCAAAATTAACTGGTGTGGACTGACCATGGCCCTCTGGGAGCCAAAACTTAGACCAAATCGTAGCTTCTTGGACTGAGGTTTTATTGGGTGGTGATATCACTTGGTAGTGGGAAATATAGATTGGTTTAGTCATTGCACAGAGGAAATACCTTCCTGATCACCTTATAGCGACTTAGAAAAACTAAATATTGCTCATAGGACGAATTGGCGTGAAAGACATGTTTCATAGAAATGTCTTGGGAAAGTAGACCACCTTGAAAACGTACGCTAAATTGTGCAATCACTGCGTTTGAATGAGTGAATGGGTTTCAAAACAGCTATAAATATAAGGTGACCAGACAGCACTTTCAGATATCACTAGAATCAGACATTATACAGCTCACAACAGCCTACGTGTTAACACGAGCAGCTCTGAGGCGATTGCCTGTTCGCCACGAGGAATGCAGTGACAGCTTATCTGTTAATGATAATGGGGAGGAATTGTGCAGCATTAACCAATGCTAGCTTATGGTCGTCATTTTCGCAGTATATACTCTTCGTTGAAGATCGTCTTGCATTAGGCATAAGGAACATGCTGTCGTTGGAGGCACGTTCTCGACACGGAGAAATTCACCAATGGAATCGACCGCTTTGGCAGCTGGTTAAAGTTGAGCAAAATTTGGACATAACAATCAGCAGTTTAACCACCTTACGTCACAACAAGCCGAGGGGGCAATTTCGAAGTGATAGCTTCACGCAGGACACACTTTTATAGGGGAACAGAATGTAATTGGTAGGATTTCACAAACTGAATTTTGCAGCTAGCAGGTCTTCAGTTTCTTTTTACTCACTTAACTGCCTACTCGATGACAACCGGTGGTTAACAATAAGGTAGCTCGGCCAACGAATTAACGTTAACTTCACCGAATCACGCATAATAGACGGTTACTGAGTGTAATTTTCTAGCTTCCTCGAAGTCAGCACGTAATGAGACACATGCTAGAAACTTTAACTGCGGTTCTTGTCAACGACCAATCAGTAACGGAGCGAACAGTCCTTGCGTTCGAGGAAGTAAATGATAATAAAGGAGTATACTCGACTCCATACAATTATATTTCTGTCCTTAAATCTCGAGCTATAAATCGTGTTAGGTGTAGTTACTGTACTTTAAACGCGCCAAGTAAGTAAGTTTTCAATTAACTTCACTCGGCCGTTAAAAGGACGTGCATTGCAC